CTCTACACTATATATGTAAAAACTCACGTGGCCTATATCAAAAGATGGAAAAGTGGTTAAATAGTAATAAAAAAATCCTCAACATTTATTTTAGGTCCAGAAAAGTTTTTAGAGATGAGAACACTGAAATTTCTGGGGTAAGGTTGTTGTAACTCAGCCAAGAGTTCATATAGTAAAGTTCTTTAAGAAAGAATATCTGTTTTATATATGAATTTTGCTACCAGCCTATTACAAATTCTGACCTTGGAATGCAGTTTGGACGTGGAACTTGGAACAGAGAATTCAGAATGTGGAACCTGGTATTATTTATAACCTGGCAAGTAGAACTCCCAGAAACCAAGTTAGTTAGCCAAAACAAGCTGATCCCTCTAACTACAGGTAAAACAACATTCTAAATAACTTAAAGTGTTTGAAAAATATATAAAATCAAAATAGGAAAGTATTTTGGTAGACAGAAACTAGCTTCCTTTTTAATTTTTAATGTTTCATGGAATGTACTTCAAACAGTAGATAGTTAACCAGTGCTCTTGACAGACACACTAAGTTATACTGCCTGACCACATCATAAATTAGCCTTTTCTGTGGGGATCTGTTAAAAAAAAAGAAGCAAGTTGTCAAAATGATTCCTTGACATCTGTAGCAAAGGAAATGATTCAGTTTCTTCCAACTATCCTTTACAAAATAATTATAAACAAATGCTTAATTCTGAAATATTCATTTTCTCATGTCCTGAAAGAACATTTAGTTTGACCATACGTGTTTTATTTTTGCCTATCTGGGGACATTCACTAAACAATCTATTCATTTCACAGCTCCCCAGACATAAATGTCATAGACATCTACAACTTTTCCATTTAATCATTAATACCAAAACATTAAACACTTATGGAAAACACATTACATAGCAGTTTATCAAGTAAAGGGTGTTCATGTTATTTTTCTTTAGTAAGATTACTGTCTTGGGTCTATATTTGTAAAATGGCATTAAATATACTCCTATATGAAGGCATTAAGGTCTTTGTGGAAGATTCCAACAGTTCTGATTTCTCCTTTAGATTATTGAGCAAAATTCCTAAAATATTTCTCCTGCACTTATTCTGAAGCATTTCCACAATCAGTAGGCAGATTCCTACCCAGTAAAAATTACCTTAGCCTCAGTGATTTATATCAGCTAGGGATCTGGACCAGTGAGTCTTGCAATTTCCAGCTTTCAATCAGTGCAAAATAATCTATTGTATATAAATATGTATACATGACTAGGATTTGAAAAGCTATCTATAAGAATGTTTATTCCCTTTGGAGTGTGCTTTTGAAGGAAGGGGAAAAAACAAAAGAAAAATTGGCTCTAATATCACACTTATTTTCTTCCTTGTTTTATTGCTAATTTCTCCCCCTCCATATTTGGAAGGAAGTTGAACAACTTTGCTGGTCCCCATGCAAGAAAACCTTGCATCTTTGATCTGCTGAGGTTCTCAAGCAATTACAGGGCAAACCAACACAGCAAACTACAGCATGCTACATAGAGTCCAAATGAGCTAGCACATGTAGCATTTAGTCTTAGCAGCATGGAACTCTACACGCAAAAATTTATGTTGCTGTACCTTTAAAACTGCTATCTTTACACTACATGGCAGTCTCTGGCATACACATGGATAGATTCAGCTCCTTTCTATTAGCTCTATGTTGAATTTGATATCCAACTTAATTTTCTCCTCATTTGCAGTTAGGGCCATATAATTCCACAAGGATTCAAAATGTGGGAGAGGGTAGCATTGGCTCATCTTTAGGCGTCCTGGCCACAATCCATCCCAGGTCGTGCTGTTCACATTTGTGGTCTAAACTGAACAGCTACAACCCCACAATTGGATAGGACTTCTAGGCTAGGGACAGACATTCAAAAAGCATGAGACTGAAATGATTTAATCTTTGCAGATTAGTTTAATCTGCCTAGGTCGAACTGGTTTGCAATCACACAGACATTCCCTTTGGACTGAAGAAATGCAGGCACATGCCTGCAGTGGCTCAGGCTACAAGCTGGGGAGTGCTACAGCACCCCCCCCTTCCCTTCTTCAGTGCTGAGATGACTGGGGAAGGGAGGAGGAAGGGTGTAGCAAGGCCCCAGCATGATACTCTGATTAGGGAGGGGTACACTCCCACCCTGGCCTGCACAGTCCTAGTCTTTTTCCCACTCTCTCAAGGGGTAGGAGTGTTGCCAGACCCCAGCCCCAGGCTAGCACCCTCAGGCAAGTGGTGTGTGCAGTGTATGCATCTGTTGATGATACTGAACTTTTCAATCTCCCTCTCCCTGCTTCTTCATACTGTCTGCAAATCTGACAGGAGAGCAAACCAGCAGGGGGCTGATAATACAGTGTTTATCACTCCATCAACAACAAAAAAGCCTCTCTCATTAATTTAAGCTCTTCTTAAACAGCTTTTTCCAAGGAAGGAATGGAGGGACATTACCAGCTGACCTGCTGATTAGCTCCCAAAAGCCCTAAGCAAACACTGTTTTGTCTGTTTTTGTCCTGTCTGCCTTTGTCCTGTCCCAGTGAAATTGGAGACACACAGACACCCTTCAGCATTAGCTAGCATACCACATGTCTAGGGTCCATGGGGCTGGGGTCCATAATGTGAGAGATGGGAAGGAGGAAGTGGGGAATCCATGCTTGAACAGTGAGGGAAACCAGGCAGACCCTGTTGTGCTTGCAGTCTCCCCCGGAGCTCTGGCTAGGGAGAAGAGGGACAGGGCCTGTTCTCTGGAGCAGAGAGCTCAGCCCAGGGCTGCAAAGCATCTGGGATGCTGGGGGACTCTGGTTTAACTTAAATTAGGAAGGGGTCTGGGACAGACATTGCATAAACCAGTTTGACCAGTTAAGTCTGATACTACATTCAACCAAGTTTATCTTACACCAGTTTCAGCCATTTTGAAACTGGTTTATGTGCACTGAACTTATATTCTGTTACACATTTAAACCAGTTTCGATCACTTAAACTGGTTTATGTGTAATGTCTGTCCCTAGCCCTAATGTGTTTCATACCCATCCCCAAACTCCCATTTCTGCATGGGCTCTCTACCTGCATGTTACACTGCTAGAGACTTGAACATTCTTGGGTGAGTCAAGTCCACTCTAACTAGTCAGGAGATGATATTACATTTACAGTTTTCATTTACATCTTAAAAGAAATTTAAAATGATATAGTTGCAGGAGGTGAGCAAACTGGTGCAATACATCTTGCCATATTTGCTGTTTCTATAAAAGTCAGTTTCTTTGGCCACATGAAAATCAAAGCTTTCATTTTAAGAGCACCTAAATTTTCCAGATGTGAAGAAGAGCTTGAAGATGTGACCTAGCACATCCTGAAACATCAAGAACTAGCAGGCAAAGAACCCCAAATGCCTTACATTAAAAAAAAAGTCCTGACTACTGATGACTGAGTATCTTGCAATATTGTCAAGCAAAACCAGCATTTTGGGTTAAATGAAATTGTATCTCCTTACCTGTAGGTGTACTACTGCGAAATGAGGAGGAGGGTGTGATGGGAGGAGTGACTGGAGGAGTAAGGCTTCCACTGCTGTGGCGAGGTGGAGTAGACACGTTCCCACGAGACACAGAGCTTGACAAAGTCAAAGAGAGTTTAGGCTGAATCTTCTTCTTCAGAGATTCCTGCTCCCGTCGAGCTGCATCAGTCATAAACCTAGAATAAAAGCAACAACAATGAGAAAGTGAGAGAAACATTAGTTTTGAACCAGCCTTTGGTAACTATGACGCAAGCGTTTTTCACTGTAAGTGATCTAATGATGTTTCAAATTCAGCTTACGATATTTGTGTTCCATGGCAGAGGAGAGTGACAGCAAACAAGCGAACTTCACTGATGAGCTGATAATAGAGAATGTGTTCAGAGGTCAGTGAGAACGTTTGGATTTTAACAGTATTTGTCTTACCTAACTGGTGTCCAACCTTATCACCCTGCAGGCTGGATGGCTGATGCGAGGTCTGTCCGTGGGCCAGATCCAGCCACAGGGGGGATACACAACCTGACCTTGATCTACCAGGGGATGGGGGTATGGAGTGGCCCCTATCCAGTAATGGGGGGAGGAGAGGATGTGAAGTAGCCCAGCCCTGATCCAGACACTCAGGGGGACAGGGAAGGGTGGAGCGGCCCCAAGTGAGACACATAGGGAGTGGAGGCAGAGTGCCTCAGCCCTGATCTAGACATGTGGGACAGCAGCAGAGGGCTTGGAGGGGGAGCAAGAGGAACAGCCTGGCCTAGTCTGGATGTGTGGGGTGCAGGCCTGACCCTGATCCCACTGTGCTTCCACTGCTCCCCTACTGCCAAATTTTCTAACCCACGGGCTTCCCCACTGACCGGATGCCATGGATTTGGCCCATGGGCCAGAGGTTGAGCAGCCCTGTCTTAGCGGATTATATATATTTTTTAAAGCTGCATGGAAATTCATAGCTGGACAAGAGAAACTATTCTACAAAAGATATTTACTTAACTACAACCCCTGCTCAGATGAGAAAAGTAGTCTCAGTAGCAGGAGTGAGGGAAATGTTTGCTTTGAGGTAAAAGTTTGGGAACTTAAAAAAATGTCAAATGTATTTAAATTTGTTTTCAAAAATACTTGACATGAAGCTATTTAAAATACACCTTACATAAGGAGTGTGTAATCATGTGGGGGCAGTCAATGAGCCAGGCTGGGCCTGTAGATTGGTATCATATGCTAGATCCAGTGTGTAAGGCTGGCCTAGTGCAGGCACTACGTTCAGTTTGCATGTCAGGCTGCCTAGAGTGGATACTGCATGCAGTGAGCATCTTGGAGCAGGCACTGCATGTAGCGTGCATCCCAGAGTGGCTCCATATGCTGCACATGGGGCATGTCCACTCCAGCCCTGCATGCCATGCACAAGGCTCATCCAGGATGCACTATTTGTGCATGTGGGTCCACTCAAACACCAATGAGCAGCACTGCATGCCAGCTGATAGGGCTCCATGGGCCAGTTCTGGCTTGTAACTTTACTACCTATGCCTTGCATAATAGAGTGCATTTATATGGACTTAAAGTGCAATATCTTACACCAAGAATAATTATATCCATTTTTTTAAAGCTGGGCACCACTAATGGAAAATTAAAATAATTGTGATCCTCTCCAACTGCTACCCACTGTTAAAGTCCTAGTCATTTTAGGGCTGGGGTATACTGGCATAAGGATTACAGTAATTATCCTGGTGTAACCTTTATTTCAATTAATTCACTTGCAGAAAAGGAATAAAGCAAAAAAAAAAAGCTATTGTATTCCATACCAGAGCATGCATGCTGAGGGACACACCAATATAAATATCAATTCATATTTACATGACATCAACATAACTTTCTGATAATAATCTAAACAGACAAGTCCCTCATATTTATCTTTGTTATATAACTTTCTCCTTTGCTGTTCCTTCATCCCTCCACAGGGGACTATGTTTCACACCTACAGAAATTCTGTATAGATCTTCATAATATGGTACTTCCTCTTTTTTCTTTCATGCATTGATAAGCAATGAAGACATTACTGTTGCTGACATTCAGAATAGCATCACTAGGGACTGAGCTGGCATTTGAGATGAATACAGCAATTGCAATCTCACACCCATTGTTTCAGGGTCTCTGCAAATCCAGGCAAACATTACAGCTTTCATCTTCCCTCTCCTGTTTCCCTGCAGCCATCTTTGTCAGAGAAACACACTCCAACTCTCTCTCTTTTTTAAATAAACCTGATACTGGAGTACAAATGAGAAGTTTGTGCATCTTCTTGTCCTTCATGCTGTGTCAAGTAGGTATGCCCCATTTATTTGGCAATACTGCCTAGCATGATAATAAAATAGGCAATAAAATAAAAAAAGTAAAACTTAAAACTTTACCCGTGATTGCTTTGTTGGTCAACTGGCTTTATCTTAATTTTCAGCTATATTTTTTCAACTATATTGGAAGGTGTACAATTTTTGGATTATAAGCTTCTAAAACCATATTTCTGTGTTTGTGCCTTGAACAATAGAGGGCACATTCAAACTTATCAAATAATAAATATTCATTAATGCTGTACAAGGTAATTGTAAGTTGCACCTGGATTAGAACAGTCTTTACCATCATTTAGAATACAAAGGGAAAGGAAGAGTTACTGGCAATTCTTTTTATTGGACTAACTAAAAATAAAATGGGCTTTCATTCAACAGTCACACTTTCTTCATCAGAATAGTGGAAAGGAGTGAGACACATGGAGAAGGCAAAAAAAAAAAATTCATAACTCATTAAGTTCAGAAAGAAAGTACAAGGGTGTTTCAAAAACTAACAGCAAAATGGCTGCCCACACTGTATTTCTATGGCAAAGTATGGAACTACACAGCAGCAGGGAACACTGTTGGCAATGTTGTCAAACAGCCCTATTATTTCATGCAGAACACACGTGTGATGGTATTGAGCATGTAAATAACGTGGCTGCACAGCTGTTAGTATGCACCAAAAAAGAACAGTGTTCTGTCATTAATTTTTTGTGGGTCAAGGATATGTCACCTAGTGAAATTCACTGTAGGATTGTGCCACAATATGGTGAGAACTGTAGGGCTCAATGAATGGTCTTTGAGAAGGTGAAGAAGATAAAGAACAGCTATACATCTATAGTAGATGAACCACAGGCAGGATGCCTCAACACAGTCACAATGGAGGACAACGCTGCCCAGGCTGATGTGACTATGTGTGTAAATAGGGACGTGAGCATTTCTGAACTAGTGGTGGAGCTAGGTGTAAGTGCTGGCAGTAGCTATCCTCTGATAACCCCAGGTAATTTCTCTACTTTTCACCAGCTACATTTTATCACCTGTTGACATTCCCTTCTTTTGTTTCCCCCCACCCTACCTGTCTCACACCCATTAACTCTGATTTTCCTTGCCATGCATTTGCATTTTTGCAGACCTACATTTTGCATATTGGCTTAAGCTTCTATTCAACCCACATTTATCACATTTACTAAATAACCTTATATGGCAGTATCTATGCCATTTTGCACGATCACGTGAGTTACCAGAAAGTAAGCGCCCATTGGGTGCCATAGCAACGGACGGATTTGCATAAACAATATGTGAAAGTGTGTACACAGCTTCTGCAATGTGCATGGGACATTTTTCTTGTCCATCATCACCAGGGATGAGACCTGGGTCCACCATTATGATCCCAAGAGCAAATGGCAGAGCATGCAATGGAAACATATACCCAAAAAATTCCTTACTCAACCATCCTCTGGCAAAATATTACTTACTCTGTTTTTCAATTGCCTAGAACCACTCCTTGTTCACTTCATGGATCAGGGTCACAATCAATAGCAATACCAATAGCAATAGCAATACCTACTGCTACATTCTTCAAATTAGGGCTGTGCGAAACGGCTATGCTTCATTTCGGATTTGGCTATTTCAGAGGATAGTGATTCATTTTGGTGTTTCAGATCACTGTTCCATTTCAATTCAGCCAAATCTGTTTTGGAGTTTCGATGCTGATTCAGAGATTTGGATTGATCAGGGAGAGGCAGGAACAGTTGGGTGGCTGCAGGTTCTCCCGTGGCTCCTCCAGCTGTGCCTGCCTCTCCCTGGGCAGGGGGAGCTGCGGGAGAAGCCCCCATGGCTCCCCTGCCCCATCCCCCGCCCGGCCCCAGCCACCCTGCAATTTAAAAAAAAAAAGAAAAAAAAAGTCCTGTGCTCACTGGCTGCAGCAGCGGCAATAAGGGGCCTCTGAGGGCTTGTGGCAGAGCCCCCACCCCCCCCCGGGCAGCACAGGGCAGCAGGGGACAGCAGGAATCGCCCCCCCCTTCCCTGTGCTTCGAACCTGCATGGCAGTCATCACATTGTGTAGGTGCAGCACAGCTTGGCAGGATCCTGTGCACTATCTGGGAGCTGGGGCAGCTTCAGTAATCAGCCAGAACCTGGTACTGCTCAATCCCAGCAGCACATAGCTCTCAGAAAGTGCATAGTGGCCTGCCAAGCCATGCTGCACTTGCACCATGGGGCAGCTGCTACACAGGTACCAGACAGGGGGTGATCCCCACTGCCCTCTGCTACATGGGGGGGCTCTGCCATGAGCCCTCAGAGGCCCCAATCACCGCTGCTACAGCTGGGGAGTGTAGGGTTTGTTTGTTTTTTGTTTTGTTTTTTTTAAAGTGCTGGGAGGCTGGGGCCAGGTGGGGGATGGGGCTGGGCAGGGCAGCTGTGGAGGCTTCTCCTGTGGCTCCTCTGGCTGTGCCTGCCTCTGCCCCAGTGGGGGGAGCCATGGGAGAAGCCCCCATGGCTGCCTTGCCTGGCTCCATCCCCTGCCCGGCCCCAGCCTCCTGGCACTTTGAAAGGAGGGCTTTGAGTGGGGCTGTGCCCGACTATTCCCAGGGGGCACTTTTGAAACATTCCAAAACATTTCATTTCAGATGTTTTTATTTTGTTCTGGAGATTTCATAGATTTCACAGACTTCATAGACATTAGGGCTGGAAGGGACCTCGTAAGAGCATCAGGTCCAGCCCCTTGCCCAAGGGGCAGGAAGTCAGCTAGGGTCAGCTAGGATCCCAGCAAGATAAACATCCAAATGTTTCTTGAAAGTGTACAGAGCAGGTGCTTGTACCATCTCTGGGGGGAGTCTTCCAGGTCTTGGGGGCTCAGACAGTAAAGAAGT